TTTTTTCTCGTCCGGTATATGATAAAATAATTAAACGTTATACTGGACCAATCATCTATAATATTTGGGAAGATCATAAGAAAAGTACAATTGATAGTATTAAAAATTCAAAAAATGATATTTGGTTAGCTGAAGATGGACAGTATGACTCTCCAGGCTTTTGCGCCAAGTATTGTATCTATTCGGTAATGGATTTACGTAGTGGAAAAATAGTAGACTTTAAACTTGTTCAAAAAGGTATAGTAAAAGGTGACCTGGAAAGAAAAGGTTGTGAACTATTACTTAATGATCTGACCAAAAATCAAAATTGCAATATTAAATTATTTCTTACTGATCGACATATAGGAATTCGTTTTTACATTAGAACACAACATCCTGAAATACAACATGAATTTGATGTGTGGCACCTATCTAAAAGTTTGATGAAAAAAATGAAAACATTAGAAAAAAAACATGAAAAAGCTTATTTATGGAAAAGTAGTATAAATAATCATCTCTGGTGGGCTTCGCAAAACTGCAAAGGTGACGGTCAATTATTAGTTGAAAAATTCACGTCTCTACTACATCATATAAAAAATGAACACGAATGGGAAGAAAATGGAGTAATAAAAACGTGCGATCATGATCCATTAACAAACGAAGAAATAAATAATAAATTGTGGTTAAAATCCGATGACGAATCATATTATGCATTAAAAAAAGTTATAACTGCAAAAGATTTTATAAAAGATTTACCACATGCAAACAATTTTGTGCATACTGGCCGTTTGGAATCTTATCATAATGTAAGGTTAAAATATATGCCAAAACGGATACATCTGAAATATAGAGGTATGTACATAAGATCTATTTTGGCTATATTGGACCATAATTACAATACAAATAAACAACTAGTAGGTGATAAAATAGTATACTCAAAACCGTTAGGAAAATATACAATAAAAAATGTATATGAGCGTACTGATACTGATTGGCGAAAACAAATTATGCATGAAGTACTTGATTTAGCTAAAAAAAAAAACAAACGAATATAGCATTATAACAATTCCAGAAGAAATAGAAATTCCCAAGTCTATAGCTCCAATACCAAGACCAAATATTGAAGAAATACGTTCTAAAAGATATTCAAGATTTTCAATTTAATTTTATAATTCTGTTCAAAATTTTTAAATTGTAATTTTTATTTTTTAGTATAATACATATTTATTCATAAATATATATATATATATATATATGTAATATTTAAATATATATTTATGTGAAATATCGAAAAAATATTATTTCATTAGCTATTCTAATATTATATTAACTTATAGGAAATAAACATTAATTATGTACATTTAAATTTAATACGACCAAACATACACCAAATTGTATTAAAACCCACATTCTTATGACTATTGTCTTAATTTGTAATTTTTGTTAAATATAACAAAAAATATAAATAAATAACCTAGGCCGTGTCGGCGATTTTTGTATAAAAGTATAGGCCGCCGCCGCGCCGTGTGATCTTATGACGTCACCCGCCTATCTCTCTTGGGCTCTAGCGCCTCAACAATTCGACATACACAAATTTTAATACCACCGTTGGTTATATTAATTAATTACCTATTAATTGAATCAAAGTCATTTTTTTTTGTTTCATGGTCCTTTAATTACTTTTTTGGTTCTTGGTCTTACCAAGTGGTCCCTCGCCTTACCTTGTTTTACACATACATCGTACAACCATTATTTCTTTTTTTAAATTGTGACTTATACCATTGATTAAATATACATATATATATATTATCAATGCTTATACATAAGTTCACAATTAACATTTCTCAATTTTTAATTCTAATATATTTTATGTTGTTAACACTTTATTAAATTAAAGTGGCTGATCTAAAAATGATTTATCATCTTTTTTTTTTTTTTTGGTTTAAGCAAATAATAATAAAACGATTTTTTTTTTTATGTAGAAATAAAACCAATTTGTAAAACGTTAAATCAAATTGATAGTTAAAATTCACGACTAATAAATAATTATTTTATTAAACTAACAAAACAAAAAAGTTGCAATAGAGCCATGGCAATAGAGCCTTCATACAAAAAAAAAAAAAAAAAAAAAAAAAAAAAACAGCTACTTATGAACAAGAATCTCAGTCTTAAAACCAGAAAAAACTTTGTCAAAAGCTACGTATGGACCTTAACAGCACAAGATAAAAAAAAAATCGAATCAATGGAAATGTGGACCTGGAAAAGATTACTTCGTATTAGTTGGACTGAAAGAAAGAGCAACGAAGAAATTCTCCGAATAGTAGAGGAGAAAAGAGTTTTACTATCCATCATTAGATCAAGAAGCGGAAAACTTATAGGACACATAATGAGTCATAACCTTTTCATAATCAACATAATGGAAGGAAGAATCAATGAACGCAAAGGAAGAGGAAGACCGAGGAAGACATTCATAGGAGGCATTATAGGAATGGCTGGATGTAACGGGTATTCGCATATGAAGACTCTGGCATTGAAGAGAGAGGAGTGGAGATATATTTTTTAACTATGACAAGGCTGAGCCTTTAGAAAAGAAGAAGTAGCAAATAATTACTGTCCATACATAAAAGTATTTTTATAAGTAAATTATTATTAATAAAAGTTTAATAATTATATATTTCAATAATACCAGTAGCATTCAATTGCTTAAAATACTAATACTTAAATAAAATATGTAAAAATAAATTAATTTATAATATAGGGTACCTATTTATTCAAAAATTATCATTATTGAATTATTGATATTTTACTATTAACACAGAATAATGAGTAATATACTATTATGTGATTATATGTGATGTTATTATCTGATAAGTAAAAACTAAAACCTAACCAACATGGATGGATTAAATATAATATATTTATTAGCATTAGGTAATAGAAGTTCACATTTATGTTATAATTTTTTTTCTTATTCTATGAAATAGTTATTTTTTGATATTTTAATATACAGTGGAACCTCGATAAGTCGAAATTCAAGGGAAATGCAATTTTTTCGACTTATCAAGGTTTTCGACTTACTAAGGTTTTCGAGTTATCAAGGTTTTAGAAAAAAAATTCGACTTAAAGAGTTTTAAAAATTTATGTATGTATTAAAGTTTTTAATTATTATGTACTTAGTATATATGTATGTACAATGTAAAAAAATGTGATTATAAAGATTATTTAAATAAAAAAATTATTACAAAAAATTTATTATTTTACTTTGACTTAAATTTTGAGATTTACTATTATCAATTGTATTTTCTATTACATTTAAAGCAGAGTACACTTTATCGTCCACATTACTCAATTGTTCGGTGAATGTCCTTAGCAATATGAGGGCTGCTGTTGCTTGCTTCATTGAAACACGATGCACAGGCTCAGATGATGCTTCTTCGATATCATCAACATCTTCAGTGCCACGGACGGAGTCAGTTATATCGTCGTCTGTCAGAATACCAGAAACGGCAACGTCATGGTCGATTTTAACAAAATCGTCAAACGTTTCTTCCACGATTCTATAACGACTTGCTATCATCGCCCATTCTCTGTCATCCGTATCAGTATTTTCGATTATAGGCATCAATGTGTCGTCTTTCTCAGATTCAAGTACAAATCCACACGTTCTAAAGCAGTTCACGATTGTTGACGTTGCTACGTTTCTCCATGTCTTATCAACAATGCGCATAGCTTGAAGAATATCGATTACTGTAGATTTTTCGTCATCCATATCACTTATAATTTTCCTCACTATTTCTTTTCTATAATGCGTCTTGAACGTTTTAATAATTCATTGGTCCAAAGGTTGCGACTTTGATGTGGTATTTGGCGGTAAAAATTTTACTTTTATAGCTTGACAATTCGGTATAATATTGTGAGCCGGGCAATTGTCTATAAACAATAAAATTTTACGTTTTTGTATTTTCATCTGTTTGTCTATTCGTAATAGCCATTCAGCAAACAATTCACTAGTCATCCATGCTTTCTTATTTGCTGTGTAGTCAACAGGAAAAGATTTGACACCAGCAAAACACCTCGGGTTTTTCGATTTTCCAATTATTAAAGGTTTCAATTTATCTGTACCAGTCATGTTAACAGCCAATAATAGTGTAAGTCGTTCTTTGCTATGTTTACCACCACTGCATTTCTCATTTTTGAATGTTAAAGTTTTATCTGGCATACATTTGTAAAAAAGTGCAGTTTCATCTGCATTAAATATATCACATGGTTTATATCCTTCCAGTAGCTCACTCAAATTTATTTTCCATTCATTTACAACATTATCACTGACACCTGCACTTTCACCACAGACTTTCCGAAAAGAAATATCGTGTCGTTTTTTAAAATTTTCAAGCCACCCGTTACTGGCCTTAAATTGTTCGTGGCCTAATGATTTTGCGAAATTTTCTGCTTTTTCCTTTAAAATAGGACCTCCGGTACTGACATTGGCATCTCTGCATTGCTTGAACCACTTAACTACACATTCTTCTACGTCTGAAAAATCAGGGCCTCTCTTCCTCTTCCGGTCTATTGGAAAGTTTAAATCGATTTCCTTACTATTTTTTATTATGGTTGATAGTGTACTGGCTGGTATTCCAAATTCTTCAGCGATGTCCTTCTTCTTCCTTCCACTTTTCACTGCTTCAAGAACCTTTTTTTTTTCTCCAATAGTAAGAGTTTTTAAATTACGAGGCATTTTTACATTCACAACCGTACACAGACACCGCACACGCGTAATCGATCGATCGCAACTGGCAATACCGATACAAATTAAAAATACTGTTACGTGCCAAGGTCAGTTAATACATACGATAATAAACACAATAAACGCGATTAGATAAAATTATCGGAACGGACAAGCCGATTAGACAAATGTTTATAAAATTATCTGTCATTATCCGTCATATTCGGAGCACAGAATGTTCGAGTTATCTATAGTTTTTTTTTTCGAGTAATCGAGGTTTTCGCAAGGGGACGGAATTTTTTTCGACTTATCAAGGTTTTCGACTTATCGAGGTTCGACTTATCGAGGTTCCACTGTATTAGGTATACAAGCATTGTTATTGTATTAATTGTCATATAATTGTATATATTTATTCAAGTGGAATTCATACTATGATGCTGTAACGTAATTGTATAAATTAAAATAAAATCGAAAAACTAATCTAATTTATGAATATTTTCACGGCGTCGTGTGTAGGCACTACACTTTCACGCCGAGTATTGTGTGTGTAGGCAACTTAATGGACAGCCTAATGAACTCCGCGGTAAAGGTACGGTATCCAATGCGCGACCGGTCGCGTTCTACCGATTATTTGCATTTCCCATTGACTGGTGTCCTACCCGCGACTGCAACGCGCGACAGATAATTTGCCGTCGCGACCCACGACAATACCGCGACAAGAGCAGTGTTGCGACGCGACGCATTGACGATTCGTTCTCGGGGTCAATACGTCGGCATTTACATCACAAGAAGATGAACTTTTTATTGAATCCGTGCGTAAATTTCCTGAGCTTTATGAATATTCACACACGCAATATTTTAATTTATTAATTAAAGATGCGAAATG